CCAGAACAGCCCGTGGCTCTGTGTGGAGAAGTCGTTACCACGAACTTCGAGAAGGAAGAATGCAGTCTTTAAGTCGTCATCCTCCAGAGGATATCAAATGATCACAGGGAAAACCATGAAGTCAGTTCGGCTCCTGACTCGAAATTTCAAAGAAAACGAGGGGTGATAGAAAATTAAAGGTTGTTGGAAAACACGGTGGTGCACATTTTTAAAGCACGGTACATAAATACTTCGTTTTTTACCTCATCTCTCAAGTGAGTCATTGTTTTCTTAATATGAATTATATCATCGCCTGTTTCCACGAGGATGATCCAGGCAGTATTGTAAATACAGGATGGGACTGGCTGCAGAATAATTGCTTACACAAAACCCCGGAGCGCTTGCTCTACCCCAGGCATCCGACTCTAGGCAGCAGAGCCAGCCGGGCCTCAGGTGCACGGTGTGCAAAGGCCACGTGGCCTGCTCCACTCCTACAGGCAGCCTGACACATTCTCCGCACAACAATGTGTGCCACTTGTCCGAACTTCTGGATGCCATACATCGCATCATATGTATATAGTTACATTTTTAAATATAATTTATGACCACACCGGTCACGAACAGGGAATAAATGAGCAAAGAATATAAATATATACTGGGCTCTGCCTGATTCCTTTTAAGCCCGTGGCAAAGTGGTATTGCTTCATTCCAGCCTCTCCACCTTCCTCTGACCAGCCACCACTTAATACCACTTAAGTCAATAATATGGGTTTTGAAGTCCTCATTTATAACACAAATTGGCTGTGCAAGAATGAAGAATGCAGCTATCTTCACCCGAGTACACAGTATATGACTCATTAGTCAAAATTCTCATCCAGCTTTTTTGTCAGATGAGGTATATAATTTGTCCAGAGTCCACAAACCCAGATCTTATTGGGACTACTTAACTCTTCATTTTCCCAGTAGTGAGAATAAAAAGTCAATACTGGTCTTTCTAAAAACAATTTGGGAATATAAATCAAGAGTCTGAAGAGCATCTGTATTCTGTGGGAAATGGGTTACAAAGAACAATCAGTAACGTGGACACAAAGAACAATCAGTAACATGGACACAAATCCAATATAAAGATGCTTATCAAAGTGTATTTACAATAGAGAAAATGTATAAAAAATCCAAGTGCCCCACAATAAGAAAATAGTTAAAGTATGGTCTCTCTATATGAAGGAATATTGCACAGCCATTAAAAAGCATATCTGGCCCGGCTGGTGTGGCTCAGTGGTTGAGCATCGACTCATGCACCAAGAGGTGGCTGGTTCGATTCCCAGTCAGGGCACATAACCAGGTTGTGGGCCAAATCCCCAGTAGGGAGCATGCAGGAGGTGGCCAATCAATGTTCTCTCTCATTAATGTCTCTATCTCTCTCTCTCCTTCTTCTTTCCTTTCTCTCTCTCAAAGCAATAAAGAAAAAAAAACTTTAAAGTTCTTTTAAAAAAAAAAGCATGTCTGAAAAGTCATACTACTACTAATACACTAAAAATGAGAAGCAGTCATGAGTCAAAAATTAAGATATTAAACTTCATATATACTATGTGATCATCTAATGTTTATGCACAGAATAAATACTGAATGAAAAGAGTGATTTATATTGGTAGTTATTACTAGGTGGTGCTGATTCTATTTTCTTCTCTACATTTTTCTGTATTTTCCATAATGTCTACAATGATCTTGTATTAGTTTTATAATTATAAAAATAATAATACAAATGAAAGCTATATCAGGTTTGTACAAAGCACTGTACTAGGCATGAAGCTATAGAAGAAAAGCTGCTCTGTAGATGTAGCTTTTGAAACAGTCGTCTCCACATCAGACTCACTCGGGAACTCAAAAGTCCTCAACAGTGAGGAAAATGCCCTGATGAGCCCTAGGAGCTGTGACGTACAAACCAGCCGAGGTCTGCTCCCTTGCTAAGGACACGTCACCCGTAGACAGAGGCTTATAGAACCCCTCGGTTACAGTATTCATCTGCCTATCCCATTAAGACATGACCCAGCAAGTCACTTTCAGTCAAATCTGGAAGAGGGGCAGGAGGGCCCCAGGTAACATGATGCTCCCAGAGCATGTCTGCAGCTCCAACAGGTGCAAACAACTTCACTCGTCTAAATATAAACCGACTCAGGCAGTTTGGAAAGTCTTTGCCTCTTTCTATTCTCATCGGGCACAAGAATGTTCTCTTTTTTAGTTCCGACTCTTGGTACTGGTTATTTTTATTTAGATTTGCTCTGCAATACTTTTTACTCAAAGAGAAGCAATGTTATAACTCTAAGAAGGAAAAAAAACAACAAGAGTTTTTCTTCCAAAATCTTGGAAAAAGATAGGACCTCGGTTTGAACTGTCTTTGAAATGTATTAAGTTGAAAAGGAGATAAAATATTAACAATATTTTTAAAACCTTCTATATGAGTAAAAAGCTGATGTTAACATACACATGAAGAAACGTGGTTTTAATCAGCAGAGTAGAAATTCTTTGGGGGAACCTAGAGAGCTCTGTACCTTTGCAAACTCCTGCCACACTCTCTCCCATTACCCCTAAACTCTAACTCCCTCTTCAGGATGCTGCTTGATGGTCACTCCTTCCTAGCCTTCTTTGACCTTCCCCGCCTTCACTGCCACACGTGCACAGCCTTCCTGTTAGCTCCAAAACACGGAGATCTCCCTTCCATACATTTATCCCACATGATTATTTAATCTAAGAGCTTTCTGAGAGCAAGATATATTTTATTTCTCCATATCTAGCACCCAGATTTACAGTAGTTACTCAATAATGTGTCATTGAATGAATGAACAAATGTGTAAGAGAAGACTGAAGGAGTCACTGGTAGTGCTACCACGAACAGACACAAAAAAATAAAAGTTTACGGGGAAATGATAATGAGCTATGACTAAACACTGTTAGTCTTTTTGGTTCATTTGAGGAAGGGATGGTGGGCTTATTTAGTAAAATGAAAGCTAAAATGCCAGATATTATACAAGGAATTTGGTATGCATTGGCTAGAGTTGAAATTGTCCATTTTGACTTCCTCTCTGCTATAAAATGAGAAGATGAGGCAAGATCTCAATGTCCAAGGACCAGTCGAGCGGTCAGGTTCCAGGGTTCTGGGACTATGAATTCTGCTGGAACAGTCCTCAGACCTTGCACCCCAGCTCTATTCTGATCACAAATGAAACTGTGCTCTTTTCAAACTCACAGATGCTACACTCCTACCTACCAAGACTGTGGTGTGCCACAACTAAGTTTAGCCCCACTCTCCTGGTCTGAAATAGTCATCTAAACCGCAGGGGAAATTATTACCCATGGTTTCCTAGATCTATGTAAAGAAGATGCTTCCAAACCCTAATGCTGTAAAGTTGTATTTACTTGTCCCAACTCTTCCCAATTTGGTTCAGATCACCCTTTGCCTGCATACATTTTGCAATACCTGTTGGCTCTTTATCGTTGCCCACTCCGTTAGCAAGCTCACTACACTCGAGAAACCCAGCCAACACTTGGCTTAATCTTCAACTCACTCATCAGCTAATAAAGGGGGTTTGGAGCTGGGAAAGGGAATATTGCACAGAAACTTTATTTGCCAACCGCCTACTGATAGCTGATTTCACAGGTGGTCCTTTAGCAGATTCACTCACTGAGAGAGAAGGAAGAGGACTGGCATCGCCCTTCAGACAGGGAGACTATGTTTGGGGCAACTCTCTAAGAAGGCCTGTGTTGGATTACTGTAACCGACTAGCATTTTAGTCTTAGATCTCTAGTAAAATTAGTATATGCTCTTCTGTTCTCAAAGCAGAATTTCCCAAATACCACATTCAACATAATGAATTTTCATAACGCTAAATATATCCAATGTAAAGGACTTTACTCTGAGATTATGTCCTTCCTGCATTTTGTTAAAGAGAACTTTAAAAAAATAAAATAAAAGGATATAACAGAAGATGGTAAGGTTTTTGTTTTGTTTTGTTTGTTTTTAAATTCAGTATTTTTACTTGGCACTTAGAAAATCATGGCAACCCCTATGTCAACTCCCCAAATTCATTAAAATTAGAGACCTGGGAGCCTCATCCCTAACGTGAGCAGCTCAAAGCTGATCATAAAGGAGAATATATATATGACTATATAAATGTATATTTATTGATCTCATAGGACAGGTGTTTTTGGTCTTTTATAATCACATTCTCTACAGACCTCAAAATATATCCTAGAGATCATGGAGGCCTGTAGGTCCAGGTCATTTTTATAACAGATTCAAGGCAGGTAATTTTCTCTAAAATATACCTACCTGAGAAACCCTCGACTATATACAGGCGGCACTCTGTGAGACAGGTTTGGTCCTTTGCCCCAGTAACAGTATAAAAAGAATTGGACTATATTCCTTTCACAGTAATACCTGGACCATGCCGGGGACTAAGCAAGTGTTCAATAACTGTTTTGACCCTATCTCGGGCTGGAAATAAGTATCCCAGAGAAATGCCACCTCAAGTAGGAGGGAAACACAAGTATCTTCTCAGGGATTCCTGGGTCTCCGCAGGTGGTAGGGGAAGTCGTGGTCCCCTGTGAACTCCACGGCTGAAGTGTAGACCGAGGCGAGGTCAGGGGACAGTGCAGGGAGGCTTTGCCCCGCTAGGACTTCGTCTAGAGGAGAGAACTCTGCAGCCGCTTATGCCCAGGCCTCCTGCTGTAATTGGATGCTCTTCTGTAGGAAAGTGCCTCTGCCCCCTGGCGCCTGTCCCCGCACTTCTGATGAAATAGTGACCCACCGCCCTTCCCAGCCCCTGGACTGCAGCCCCAGCCCTCCCGGTGCTCAGGGGATCACGTGGCCGAGCGGTGCTCTCCAGGAGCGCGGCTCCACGGCAATTGGTCACTGCTGGAGTCCCGGGCACGCCCATTGGCTGCGGGGGGCGTTCACGTGAAAGGGGGTCTGGGATGGCATCCCGAGTGGGGAGAGGTGGCTGGAAAGTTAAAGGGAGCGGCGCGGCGGCGGGGAGCCCGAGTCCCAGGTGGCTGCGGGACAGAGGAGGCGAGCGGGCTTCTGGCGGACGGACGGATGCGGCTGCCTGCGGAGGGCACGGACCCGAGTCTCGGCCCCCGCTCCTGCGGTCGCTCCGGCTGCCCCAGCCACTCGGGCACACATGCAGCCCCGGGCTGGAGCCTCTGCACCTCGGGGCTTGTGAGCTGCACCAGGTACGTCCTCCCGCGTCCTGGAGTCCGAGCGCGGGGCCGCGGACACGGCGGCGAGGGCGCGCGGTGGCCACCCTCTGGTTCCTGCCTCGGCACTTTCTCCGTCCGACTTGCAGTTACACCCCGGGGAGGAACACTCTGGACGGCCCCGGGAAGCTGTACTTCCACGTGGAGCGGGCCATCCAGGGCCGAGAGGTGGGGTGGAACCAGGTGCGCCCCGCGGGGCTGGGGCTTCAGAGACCCTTGCCCTCTATTGTCCCTGGGGAATGTCTCCGGAGCTGGCTGGGCGGCGGGGTCTGGAGCTCAAGGAAAAGTCGATTCTTCCCTCTCCCGGCCTCGTTTCCCTGTGAAAGTCAAGGAAACACACTGGGGAGCCTCTCGGGCCGCCGAGGGAGATGGGGCGTGAAGTGCGGCGTCAACCCTGGTCCCCGGTTCGCTGGTCCCCCGACTGGGGCTGTTCGAGCCCCGGGCGAGGCGGCCGCAAGGGGACGCTCGCGGGGCGCGGCTCGGGCCGGGATTACCCCGCCACCCGGCCCTGGTGTAATAATCTGGGCTCCTCCTCCTCCAGGAAACAGGCACAGTCCCGTGGCGGCGGCCTCCCTGCCACCGTCTTCAGGGCTCTCCGATGCAGCACGGAGCGAGCTGGGGAGGGGGCTGCCCCGCGGCCCTACAGGTGGGTGCCGGACAGGCGAAGGAGGATCCTAGAGGGGTTGGGGTGGGTCAGAGAGGGGCCGGGTCGGAGTGACCTGTGGGGTCTTCCCGCCTGGATGCTCCACTCTTTTGAACAGAAAAGGGGGTGTGGATGGGACTCTGCAAGAGTTGGTAGAGGGCCCAGAACGACATACTAGAAGATTGGTGGCCCGTCATGGCATCGTTTCCTGAAGAAGAGGAGAAAATTGAGGAAAGACTTGACTTGAGAAAGTGGAGAGTTGCTAGAAGGTGTTGGAGCCTGTGGTTTGTGTGAGACCAAGGGTCCCAGCGAAGAGAGCGTTAGGACTTTGAGCTGGGGTGCGGAGGAGAGAGGAAATCGTTCATTTGGTAGGGTTGCCCAGGGGCCGAGGCTGAAGGAAGCCAGCTGGAAGTAAAGTGGCGGTATTTAGGGAAAGTTAGTGGGAAGAGAAGAACCATCAGGCTTATTAGTAACCGCGAATGTCGAGCCAGAAGGGATCTCAGAGGAAAAAGCTGGAGCCCAGAGAGGTTGAGTGACTTGCAGCAAGTGGCACAGCTAGGTGGAGGCATGCCTAGGCCAGTGCTCTGTGTGTTTCACGTTGGACATTTTTATTTTAGATGGCAGGGACTGTGCCATTTTAACTTATCTTTTTTCGGTAATATGCAGCCTCATCCACAGATATATATCTCAAAGATGTTCTGGACGATAGTGACAGGATAGAGGGTTAAGGCCGTGAATAAGGTTCTGTGATCAGAGTATAAAGTGAAGCATGGCAACTTTATTCATACTGTGCCAACGGAGCCTCTTGGGACGGAATAAAGGAATGCTGAAAGGGTCCATGGTATGTCTTTTAAAAATTATAACCTGTTGTGACTGCTTACCTAATGTTTCAGTGTTCCTGGCCGGGGGTGGCAGTGGGGGCTATTGGTGCATCTTATTTTTCTATCCTATCAAAGTACAAGAAAATGGAGGGGGATGTGTCTTGGCGTCAATACCAAAAAAAAATTACTTCCTGTAAAAGGCACAGCCAAGGTCAATAGGTCAGCTGCCTGAAACTATGAAGGTCATGGGGTTATTTTCTGAACAAGCCTATAGTTTTCACAAGAAAAGTCCCCATGATGTCTAGCCCTGGCCAGCTGTCTTGAGGTGATGTGTTGTCACTAGTGGAACAGGGAAAGCCTTTATGCACAACTATCCATGTTCTCTAATTTTCATGGCTTTGCCCCCTTTTAACCAGGAACACTAAAATTATCCTTGGGCATGTCCCAGTCCCTCATGGGCCAAAATGAACTCAGGCATCTATTTGGAAGCAAAGTGTTTGAGCATCCATGCTGGTCTGAGTAGCAGCTACGCATGCTCTCATGATCATGTCCTGCAGCGAACAGGTCCTGTGTGCCCCTCAGGGTCTCTTTCCCCTGGCCAGCCTTGGTGACTCATGTTCCTTGGTCTGGGGAGGGAAGGGGCTGGAGCAGCAGGAGGGTCTGTCAGCAGAAGGGGCCTGAGGTACAGCAGGTGCATCCTGTGTTGGAACTAATCATTTTCATGCTATACTTGAAGATAAAAATGTCTGTCCAGGTGCCTTCCTTTCAGGGACTTAGGAAACTTTTACCTTGTGTGTCTCTGTTGCTAGGACTACTTCTGAGTAATGGTCATACCTATCACAGTCCATTGGGGCATTCCTGAGCAGAGGGTCAGGAAGGCCTACACCAAACCAGCACTTGGGTGACCGATTCTTAAAGTTCCCTTTAATAAAAACTGGAATCTACCTGTGAGCATAGGCAATGTGCTGACAGATCATTCCTTAGACTGAGGTCCCAGGGGTTAATGCCCTCACCTCCAGTTATGGTGACAATGAGAAAGCGAAGGGGTTCTGGGCAGCTGTTGCTTGTGCAATGCCCCTGGGGCAGTAACCCTGGGGTCGACAGGTGGTTAACCTTATTTTTACCTTTCGTGGAAGAATGTTGCAAAACCAAGTAGGCTCTAGAAAGTGCCAGGGGGATTGTTTAATCAGCTCTGGCTCTGGCTCTGGCTGGGACCTCACCTCCCAATCCCAAGTCCCACTTGTTCTTGCAGTTTGGTGGTAAAAGGATCTTGGGCAGATTTACACCACTGGAGCCAAACAGTGACTTTACAAAATATCCATTCTTTAATTGATCCCCTTATTCTTTCTTTCTTTCTTTCTTTCTTTCTTTCTTTCTTTCTTTCTTTCTTTCTTTCTTTCTTTCTTTCTTCTCTCTCTCTCTCTCTCTCTCTCTCTCTCTCTCTTTCTCTCTCTCTCTCCCTCTTTCTTTTCCTTATTTATTTCGTGTGTGTGTGTGTGTGTGTGTAAGGCACCTGGTAAGGCTGAGGGGGGCCAGGTCCCTGTGCCACCCTCAGTGCTTAGCACAGACTTTCCTGTCCCCCAAACACCCACAAAGTTTGCTGCGTTGAATGGTGAAGCCTTTACTCCCTGCTTGGAAGGGGCTGTCTAGAGCTAAGATGGGTGGGGGCCTCCGGGGCTCTGTTCATACTCTGGGAAGAATCATTCTACTTAATTAAAGTATAAGAAACTGCATTCATTTATTGAAGTCTCTCCATGTGCTTTTTTGTTGTTGTTTGTTTTTGTTTTAGATTCCCTTATTTTAGAATTCAGTTTCCATAATATCCTGAGAGTTTCCCAACCTTTTCCTAATGAGCTGTTTCAACGTCGTGCAGGAAAGCACGTATGAGGGTTGCAGGCTAGTTGGCTGGGCAGAGAGAACTTGCAGCTAGCTGACCTTGTGCTGACTCAGACCAGGAGGAAGCGGCTGTGGCCAAGGAGGAACCCCTCCTCCCTCAGTTCATACGCAGGGTGTCAAGGGTGGACAGAATGGGAGGGGCTGGGGTGCAAGGCTTTGCCCCATTTGGTTTTTATTCGTATTTAATAGAAAACCAACAAACAAAAACTATCGATGTTAAAGTTAGAACTGAGGTGTAATTCCAGTACGTTCTAACAAAGCTTTGCAATGGACCAGGGGAAAACTAACATGCAAGTACTTTGTAAGATTAGGTTTTTTGTTTGTTTGTTTCTGGTATGTGCCCCTAGCGGGAACCGAACCCGGGACTCTCTGGTCTGCAGGCTGACGCTCCAACTGCTGAGCCAAACCGGCCAGGGTGGTTTTTTTTGTTGTTGTTGTTTGTTTTTTTACATGGAACCCATTGGTGAACACTTTTAAAAAGTATCTTGCCCAGTGAAGTTAGAACTCTCCAGAACAATTGCATGGCTATAAGAACAGATAATAGAAAACAAATTGCCCTATAATTTTCACTCCTTTGACTTTGTTAGGAGGAAACAGTAGGAAAAATACCCTTTAAAATAAGTGTTTCGATAACTACATTATGGCCATAAATCATTGTTTTATTTGTCTCTGCACATGTGTGTTTCATCAGTGGTCATCACTAAACAACTGCTGCGTTACCGGGAAGGGCTATGATTTTTTTGGAAAATGGGATCAAACCCATTATATCTTTGTCCTTTCTCATTTTGTTTTTCATTGTCTTTGGTTAATCAAAATCAGAAAGTGAGCCCAGCCAATGTGGCTCACTGGTTGAGCGTCCACCCACACACCAAGAGGTCCCCAGTTTGATTCCCAGTCAGGACACATGCCCAGGTTGTGGGCCCGATCCCCAGTGGGGGGCCTGCAGGAGGTGGCCATACGATGTTCTCTCTCATCGATGTTTCTCTCTCTCACTCCCTCTCACTTCCTCTCTCTATAAAATCAATAAAAGAAAAAATATTATTTTTAAAAGCAGAAAGTGAAAATTAGATATTTATTGGACTGAACCAGCAGTCCCAGCTCTTGTCAGAAGATGAGCAACATTTTGGGAAAGGGTCACTGTCACTTCTTAGCCACCACCATCACCCTGCCACCCCCGCCATGGGGTGGGAACTAGAGAAGGCCTGAGATCGAGCACCCAGCACACCACCACAGGCCTACACCTTTGCCACAGTGAGGGAGATAATGTTTGGGAACTAATCTGGATTTTGTGTTCTTTGAATTTCAGACAAGAGAGTTTAGTCCTGTTTTTATCTCTGACTTCTCAATTAGCCCATTATAATAGTCAAATCAGAATGTAAATTTGCCTTAGTAATTAGAATGTTAAAAATCACCTAGCTTTAGTGAGACAATAGTGTAGGATATGTTTTGGGCAAATCTTGAAATATTTGAAGGGTTTTTTGTGTGCGTTTTTGTGTGTTTGTTTAGATCCACTTTTTTCTGATTATGAAAGGGATATTATTTTAGAAAATATAAGCAGGGAAACAGAAATTTCCTGAAATCCCATAAACTAGATATTTTGACAGTTTTAAGTACAACAGTATTTTTTCTGTGCATATACATAATATTTTTGCCCACAAATCTGGTCTCTATATAAAGTTTCATCCTCTCCATTTTTTACATTAACAGTTTTTTCATGCCATTCAAATCTTTTTCCAAATAATGTTTTTGATGATGATAAAAAATTTTATCACATGGATGTGGTACACTTGATTTAAGCAGATATCTGTTGTTAGTCATTTAGATTATTTTCTCACTCTCCCCATCATGTTGCATAGAACATTTTAGTACATTAACCTACACGCATTTTTAATTATTTCCTTAAGATAAATACCTGTATGTATTAGTAGAACCAAAAATGATAAAACATTTAGAAAAGCTGCGCTGATTTGGATTAATACAAGTATTTGTATTATCTTTTAAAATTCTTACCTAACTCAATAGGTAAAAATTGGCATTGTTTTCTAATTTAAATTTTTTAATTACTTATAAGTTTGTATATTTTGCATATTTATGAGGCACTTTTTTTTTTTTTATCCTCATCCGAGGACATTTTTCCGTTTTTTGTTCAGATAGAGTGGGAGAGGGAGAGAGAGAGAGAGAAACATCGACGTGAAAGGGACACATTGAGTGGCTGCCACCCACACGACCCAACCAGAGCCAGGGACAAACTGCAACCGAGGTATGTGCCCTTAGTGGGAACCGAACCCGGGTCTCTCAGGACTGCAGGCTGACACTCTAACCACTGAGCCAAACTGGCCAGGGCTTTATGAGGCACTTTTAAATTTTTTTCATGAACTTTCTATTTATTCCCTTTGCTCATTTTTTTTCGATGTGAAATATTTGTCATTGTTTTGTAAGATTCTATATATATTAAGGTATTAATTCTTTGCTGTCATACTTTTTGTAAAATATTTTCCAAGTTTGTCTATAATCTTTTGATTTTAATTGTTTTTTCACTTAAGAAATATAGTTTTTATGAGTCAGATTTAACCTAATCTTTAGAATTGATTCTCTTTGCTTTTTTATTCTTATAGAGGCTATTTTCACTGTAGAAAAAAAGAAAAATTCACTTACTTGAAAGGTTTAAAGATATTAAATGGTGTCCTGGCCAGTTTGCTCAGTCGTTAGAGCTTCGGCCTGTGGACCAGTGAGTCTCAGGTTCAATTATGGGAATGTACCTCGGTTGCAATTTGCAGTTTGTCCCCAGCCCTGGTCGGGTCATGCGGGAGGCGACCAGTTAATGTGTCCTTTTCACATTGATGTTTCTCTCTCTCTCCCTTCCTTCCACTCTATCTGAAGATAAATAGAAAAATATCCTCGCCTGAGGATTAAAAAATAATAATAATAAAATAAATAGATATTAAATTGCTGGATATTTTTAAAAGAAAGATATACTGGCCCTGGCCAGTTTGGCTCAGTGATTAGAGCGTTGGCCTGTGGTCCAGAGAGACCCAGGTTCGGTTCCCGCTAAGGGCATGTACCTTGGTTGCAGTTTGTTCCCGGCCCTGGTTGGGTCGTGTGGGTGGCAGCCACTTGATGTGTCCCTTTCACGTCGATGTTTCTCTCTCCCCCCCCCCCCCCCCGCTCTATCTGAACAAAAATGGAAAAATGTCCTCGGGTGAGGATTTAAAAAAAAAAGAAAGATATACTGGAATATAAAAATCTACTGTATACTTGATGAAAGCAGGTTGTGTCTGTCTTCACTATTGAGACCCAGTGTCTAGCAAAATGTCTGGCATATAGTAAACACCAATCAATATTTATGGGGTGAATTGATTTCTTTCCATCCTATTAAAACAGTGTTTACCAGAGTACGTTCCATAGAACATGTGTACTGACAGCAGGATGCTCCACCACAAAGGCTGTCCTGGTCCGATACCTTTGGGGAGTTCTGCAAACAGTGGGCTCTTTTATCAGTCCCCGTGGCATATTTGCATCCTGGAGGCTGTAAGATATCGTGACAGAAACACCTCCGAACTCAGTGTTAAAACCAGCAGTTCCATACTTTTGTGTTTGTTTTAACCTTGGACCGACCTCTTCCCCCATCCCCCATCCCCACGGTACACTCTTAATCTTGCTTGAAACCAAGGTTATGCTGGACCACACTGGAGTTCACACCGAACTGTAACCGTGTGGACAGAGATGAAGAAAAGCAGTGTCAGTCTGATCTCATCGCTGTTCCTCTCTTTTCCCCTTTGCCAGCGTTCTAGCCTGTTCCTCTGACCCAGCGATGGCCGTGGACATAGAGTGCAGATACAGCTGCATGGCCCCTTCCTTGCGCAGAGAGAGGTTCACCTTCAAGATCTCCCCAAAGCCAAGCAAACCTCTGAGGCCTTGTATTCAGCTGAGCCGCAAGAATGAAGCCAGTGGCGTGGTGGCCCCAACCGTGCAGGAGAAAAAGGTGAAAAAGCGAGTGTCCTTCGCAGACAACCAGGGGCTGGCCCTGACCATGGTCAAAGTGTTCTCAGAATTTGATGACCCGTTAGATATTCCGTTTAACATCACTGAGCTCCTAGACAACATCGTGAGTCTGACGACAGCAGAGAGCGAGAGCTTTGTTTTGGACTTTTCCCAGCCTTCTGCAGATTACTTGGACTTCAGAAACCGGCTGCAGACCGACCACGTGTGCCTGGAGAACTGTGTCCTGAAGGACAAAGCCATCGCCGGCACCGTGAAGGTGCAGAACCTCGCCTTTGAGAAGATGGTGAAAATCAGGATGACATTTGACACTTGGAAAAGCTTCACAGACTTTCCCTGTTGGTATGTGAAGGACACGTACTCTAGTTCAGACAGGGACACGTTCTCCTTTGACATCCGCTTGCCCGAGAAAATCCAGTCTTACGAGAGAATGGAGTTCGCTGTGTGTTATGAGTGCAGCGGGCAGACGTACTGGGACAGCAACAAAGGCAAAAACTATCGGATCACTCGGGCGGAGTTAAAGTCCACCCAGGGGACAGCCGAGCCACGAAACGGACCCGATGTGGGAATATCCTTTGACCAGTTCGGAAGCCCTCGGTGTTCCTATGGTCTGTTTCCGGAGTGGCCCAGTTATCTGGGGTACGAAAAGCTAGGGCCCTACTACTAGCGACCGCGCGTGACGGAGCATGGCTGAGTGGGTGCAGACAGGCCTGGCTGCAGCCACAGTGGGGTGGAGATGAAAGAGAAGCCGAGAGAATAGCTGAACTGCCATTAGGCACAGTTTTTGAAAAGAAAGGATCCTATTCATTTTTTCCTTCAATCAGCAAGTCCAACCTGGCTTAGATCACAGAACCGGTTTCGCACGCAGCGTGGCTGTGGTGTGCTGGTCTGTTTGGCACCTGTGGCAGCCACAAGGTGTGGGCAGGATGGTGCCAGAAGGGGTCTGGACAGGAACCAGGCCCTCAGGCAGTGCTGGTGAGGCGAGAGGGTGGTGGCTTCATCACGACACAACTTGGAGGGTGCCCGGGCTGTGCGGACGCGCAGCTGGGGAAAGTCAGCCACGCGAACGTCACTCCATCCCCAGCCACCTTCTGGACCCTTGCCGTTCGTCTTTGGGTGTTCTCCACCCAGCCAGGCCCTTCCGGCCTGTCGCTGCTGTCCCACCTCTACGTGGTCCTCATACTTTGTCTCCATGCAGTTGCTGGTGTTTTTCCTCAACCGTTCGTCTGATGTTCAGGAAAAGATAATAAAGGCAAATCAGCCTGTGAAACAGCATTTTCTCCTCCTGACCCCTGTGTGTGTTCCAGCAGAGAACACCCGACAGTGACCCGAAGTCCTATCACTGTGCAGTGGTCCAGATTGCTGGCTAGGACAGGCAGCACAGCCATGAGTGGGGCACATTTGGTTCTCCTCGTGGCTTTTGGGGGAGCTTTCTAAGAACTCAGTCTTACCCTGAGTCACCAGAGACTCGATGACAGGCGGTGTTTTAACGCTCGGCTGGTTTGCAGGTGCCTCGTTCTTCACACAAAGACTTGAGGTCTCCTCTTCTGGAGATTCACCTTTTGTGCTGTGTTCAGGACGTTTGGATTCGCAGATCCAATATATCCTCAAAGTCTTCCAGAAATGTTTGCTTTTACTTTGTGAATTACAATATCCAGGACACTTTACAAGCACCCAGGGACTTCGATCTGGGTGTTCTTATTTATGGTGTGTGAGTATGTGAAAGGGGTAGGGAAGAAAAACCTCACTAAGTTCTCGTATGTTTGCCAATTCTGAAATATCAGACATGAATTGTTCCTCACCATATTGGACTAAAGAATTAAAAATCCATTGGTTCATGTTGTTGTGAGACTCCTGGGACTTTCATTGTCAGATGGATCCCCAGATTCTGTGATTTTTCTTGGGCAAGGTTGGTTGGTTTGTACGTGGGGGTGTTTAAAATATTTTTTACATGTGTATTCGTAGAAGGTTGGGGGTTTTTCTGTTTTGTGTTTGTTTTCGGAGATTAAACAACTGTCCCATGTTCCTTGTGCCTGATTCACTGAAGTGAGGTTTTCCTGAGGGCAGCGGGAAGCTGGAGGCACAGCCACTGACCTCTGCAGGAGGAGTCTCCTTCGTTTGCATTTTCCAGACCAGTTAGGAATCTTCTGCCAGCTTCCGTGTAGATCACGCCGGGTGTCAGCAGGTATAGCGTGTCAGGCACAGAGTGTCCCGGCTCTTGGAGTTGGCTGGGTTTTTTTCTTTTTTGAACTTTAAAATGTTTTAACTTTTAAAATGATCTTTAAATGGTGTTTGATGTAATTCTTGCTCCTAAAACTGGCTGTTACTAGTCTGCAATCTAGTGCTTTATTTCGTGTGCCTCTCCCAGGTGGGTAGCACTGAGGGGTTCCATGATAACATAATTTATGGCAAAATCAGTTTACTTATGCTGAAATTGGGCAGAACTGTGTTTTACCTAAGCATATCTTACATCGAGGACACCGAGAGCACGTTGTGTTACAAATCTGGGACTCAGAACTAGTAAGAGTATAGATCTAAATTGAAGGGAAGCAAAACTACTTTTGTATAGGTCATGGATTTTGTTTGAAGAAGTCCCCTCCCTCCGCCTCCTTTGCAGGAAAGGTACAGGTACACTGTGGTTTACATGTCACGACTGCAGGTCATGAGACTACCCTGCGTTCATGAGAAAAATGCCTCAAGTGACTTTGTAGGTTTTCAATAACAGTGATCCTAAGACATTCCTGTGTCAAAATTTGAAATAGGGTAATTCAGTGATAAGTATCTCTTTTAAAACTGACGCAGCCCCCCCCCCCCCCTTTGCTCCCAGCTCTCCCTCGCTTTCTTTGCTGGCGGCTCTGGTTGCAAGCCGCCAGCCAGTGCACCTGGGACACCCACCCCACCAGGCAAGTCCGCACCTGCTTGCAAAGACCCTGCTCTGACTAAAGAATCTGGTTGCCCGACTTCTCTGTCAGCGTTACCATTCAGTGAGGTAGTAGAATCTGAAGAACACGGTCTTCTCCTCACCAGGCAGTCTCTCCCCTCTGTCTGGGTCCCAGAATCTTATTAGGTCGGGAACTGCCCCAGCGGAACCTCCCTTCCTGGTCACCCTCAGAGCCAGGTCTACACACTTCAGAGAGGGCAGGGTTCTCGGTTGTAGACTTGCCTGCAGCCTGACCTGTGGGTGTGACCCTCAGACAGCTCTCAGTCCTGGGGACTTCCCAAGCGCCCCAGAAGGCCCAGCCTCCTCCGGGGGCGGTGCTCCAGGAACGGGGGAGCAGCTCCATTCTTGTTTCTTATTTGTTCCCCAAAATGCCCTGGGGAGCATTTGCAGATTAGGTGCAATAAATAAGCTGGACTATATAAAGATACAATAAATAAGCTTTCAGTGTTTCTTGGAAGAGATGAAGCATTCGAGTGGGTTTCTTTCTCTCTCTTATTTAATATTCTTGTTACAGGGTTGCTGGTGAGAAATCATGGAGTTATGTAGTTCTCCAGAAATTAAGACAATTTCAGAATCAAGGTGGAATTTATTTTTTCTCTAAGATTTAATGTTAATGGTGACAAAACATGACTCTTTTAATGTTTTTTAAAGATGTAAATTTCGAACTGTTCCATGAATTTGTGGTTTTGATCTTTGCATATAATTTTAAAAACAAGCATCACTTGGATGTTACATGGGTTACATGTATGTTTATAAGCTCAAAAAGTGATTGTTGGCTCACTTTTTAGAAATGCCGTTTTCTGGCTCTTAGTGGACAGTGAATGAAAACCTTGGTGGTTTTTCCTTTGTTTCCGCTTTTAAAATCCCTCCACTGGATGTGGTTTGCTCTTTGCTCCGGGAGGTCCCGATCTCCTCAGCTCTTCGGAAGTGAGGACTGAAACTGGGGAAGTGGAACGTGTAGTGGGGTGTCTCGGGGTCACCCGCGGACGTTCGGCAGCTATGTTCACTTTCTGACGCGGACAGAGCCCGGACGCCGGGGCGGGGCTGCGGTTCCGCTGCTTCTCCCCGTGGTGGCTGGAGCCCCGTGTACAGCCGGGACTGCTTCTGCAGCCTTGTCCGTTCCTGGAGATCGCTGGGCCCCGGGGGAAGCCAAGGATGCAGCTGTGATGATGACGTTTCACTGTGACTTTCGATGTGAATGTCAACCTGAGACTCAGTTTCATTTGATGCCTACAAGTGCCTTGTCAAGTAATTTCCGCATTTAAAAGAAAATAAATATTTTTGTACACAAAGGGGAAATGCACTTTAAAATCACAACAATGGATGTATTTTGTGTGGTATAAGAGAGTGGTTTGTACCAAATGCAAAAATGCAATAAAGGTAGAAAGAAAAAACTGAAACTGTCCTACTTGAAAACTGCCTCTGTTGTGGGAGTCAGAGGCTGGGGAGAAAGCGTCTCAACAACATGTTTCCACATACAGAACATAGGTTTGCAAAGGGACAGGCACGATCCGTGAGCTGGCGAAGCTCGGGCAGAGGAAGGGGTGGCGTTCTAAGTGGTCACAGCAGCAGGTTATGGCTCGGAAAGTAAGTGCTGGGGAAGGAGCACAGGGGCCAGTGTTCTGAACCTATTTTTTGAAATGTTATTTTATTTTATGTTGTTAACGAGATGCATCGGGGTGACATTGGTTGATCAGGTGACAGATTTCAGTGTACATTCCTGCGATACGTCATCTGTCTGTCGCACTGTGTGCTCACCACCCAAGGTCAGATCATCTTCCGTCACTGTATGTGGGCCCCCTTTACCTCCTACTACCCTCAACCCCTTCCTGCTGGTAACCACCGCACTGTTCTTCCAGTCTGAGCTTTTGTTTGTCTTGTTTGTTCATTTGTTACTTTCAGTTTTATATCCATGTATGATTGAAATCATATGGTTCTTGACTTTTTCTGTCCAGCCTATTTTGCTTAGCGTGATATTCTGAATCTGTTCTTAGTGATCTGGGGCATGTCGCTTCTTACCCTCTCACTTGCTCATGAAGCATGTTTTTTGTTTCATGTACTCAAAGGTAGGAAAACTGCAGGTGACTCTCAGAGCTTTTAACTGCTCGATTTCACTGCAACCAGCAAAACCAGCCAGCTCCCGATGGGATGCCCTCTCCACTGGTCTTCTGACAGTCACCCTAAATAAGACTTCCAGACGTGTGATTTTAAAGTTCAGAGGTGGGGATGGAGGCAGAGGTGAGCGGCAGCCAGATGTTTCCTGTACATTGGCCTCTGCCCCCCCCCCCCGAGAAAGGCAGGGGTTCTGCAGGGCGAGGGGAACACAGGAAACTTCGCCCTGAGTAACAGATGCAAAAAGGAAGCTGCGTTACCGTAACTGCCTTTCCCAAGAACCTCAGACCTTGTCCACAATTTGCCTTCGTAGAAATGGGAAGGGGGGAGGAGTAAACTTTTTTTTTTTTTTTTAATGAATATCTATTTGCGATTCACTATGGTTTTCATAATCATATTATTCTAACTTGTGAGACAGACATTTCAGAGACGTCTGGAATAAAAAAGAAAAACACTTTCCCGGAGCAGTGTTCCCAGAATAGCAAATATTCGGCTCTCTGAATAATTCAGTTGAACATTTGCTGTCTGCCATGTGAAGGCAGCGCTGGGTGCTCCCTCTACCCAAGCCCTGCAAGAGACACTCACGTTTAGGTAAACCCCCGGGTGGCCGTGAAAGGCGGCGCGTCCTGCTGTGTCGTGGTGGTAGGGGGCAGGAAGTGTGGGTTGTGGCCACTCCCTGCCATCCCATTGACGGCTGCCCTGAAGGAGCCAGTGCTTCTAGCGGGAAGCAGAGACCAAGGGCTCTAGCAGTGCCCCGAGTCCTTCTGCGAGTTGGCCAGCGTGTTCCTTTTTAAAACGCTTCTAAATATAAACGTGCAAAAAGTACCATGTGCGCTATTTGCATTCTTCATAAAGTCACAGGAGTGAACAGCGTCCCAGACAACAGCTTGGACTTCACAGAAGCACGCATGTTCCCGCTGGAAGGGACGTCGGAGCGCTCCTGGTGGGTAAAGATGTGTGGGCCCCGAGTGTACCCACATTCACGTACTCGGCGACGAAGCCAGAGAGGACCGTGCGGGTCTTTCCCGCCTTTTCCAAGAACTGTCACCTCTGAACTGGAGTCGCTCTCACAGAACTGAGGTTAAAGTGGTGGCTCTGAAAAGAAGACCCTCGTGACGGAGGTGCCGTCCCCAGGGGCTGGCAGACACACACATCCCTCCCAAAGGCTCCCTTAGCACCGACGAGGACCGCCTGCCCGAGGAAGGGCAAGCTGGAGACACGCGAGTTCTAGACATGCCAGTCTCTGAAACAGCTGACAACGAATTCAAGCAGATATTTAAAAACATGGTGTGGGCCCTGGCTGGTTTGGCTCAGTGGTTAGAGTCCCGGGTTCGGTTCCTGCTAAGGACACGTACCTCGGTGGCAGTTTGTCCCCGGCCCCGGTTGGGGTCGTGTAGGTGGCAACCACTCGATGTATCTCTCTCACATCCATGTTTGTCTCTCTCTCTTCTTCCCTCTCTCCCTCCTGCTCTATCTAAAGATAGATGCAGAAATGTCCTCTGGTGAGGATAAAAAATAAATTAAATAAAAACATGGTGTGGGACACACACCTGCACGTGTGCACGTCAGTAAAAAAGTGAACATGAAATAATCTGGGTACCCGAGGGCCCGATCACACAGCAGGATGTGACCGGTGGTAGGAAACCACAGCAGGGCCCTTGGCTGCAGGGGATCCTGGGAGACAGGACCCGAGGCCTCGGCATGGCCTGCACCGGAACAGAAGCCTGCTGGAGCACAGGAAGGCTGTAGCCCTCATCCCTCTCCCTTGGCCGTCGCTAACCCTGGGGGAGGAGACAGAGAGGGAATCTCAACTGCTGCTTTTGTGTCCACACGGGGTTCTCTGGTAGGTGACGTGTCTCCACAAACACTGATGTGCCTCCCAGCATCAGGTCCTCAGCTGAGCTTGAATTTGGCAAAGGTAGGATGAGGATACACAACACACTTTTGGGGCCAAAGACGTTTATAATGACCGAGGATACTGGCCCTCTACCCAAAAATGCAAGATGGGGTGGGCTAGGTCAGGGGTTGGCAACCTTTACCTGTAAAAGGCCAGAAAATAAATACTTTAGGTTTTTCAGGCCACATAGGGTCTCTGTCACATATTCTTGTTAAAAAAAAAAAAAAAAAACTTAAAAAATGCAAACACCGTTCTTAGCTGTGGGCCATACAAAACAGGCCAGGGGCTGGACTTGACCTGCTGCCTGGTGTTTGCTGACTCTGGCTGGAGAGACCTATAGGAAGCGTGAGACCTCAGAGCCAACTTGCAGACCCTCAGCTGAGGCCTGGAGTCAACTTTCCAGTTTGTTGGTTTGTTTAAAGACCATATAATTGATGGTCCAAACTGGGATGCTTTGGGAACGAATAGGGTGCTGTGAATTATAGGAGCAGCCCCAGCAAACCCTGCTGCACCAGCCCCGGCAGCGCCCGCCTCCTGTGCGCCTCGGGGTCCTCTTAGACCTTTGGGGAGCTCAGGAGGCCAGGACAGTTAGGGCCGGAGTCAGTTCTGGCTGGATAGTGCCCTTTTTTGGACGGGTTATAGCGGAGTGGCAGTTTTGTCTGTGGTTTAGATGTGTTTTGTTGGTTAGCTTCTCTGCTTCCTAGCTGCAGTGCAAAAGCCCTCTGGAAGCTCCAGCCAAGTCGCTCTTAGGGGTAGAAAGTTTAGGAGGAAAGGGGTTATTAATAGTTTGGGCTTATGTCCTACTATTCCCTCCGCCCACCCCAGTCCCCAACAAAGAGGGCATGGCAAAGCT